CACACAGCCAACACACATTCACAAGCAACTCAAACCACCCTCCAGAGCACCAGCCCCGGCTACTTTCTCTGTAATCTCCCCACTTGGACGCTTCGGCAGTGACGGGCCCCACCCATGCTGATGGATGGCAGCCGCAGTACTTCATGGGGAGGGGTGCTGAGGGGGAGACTGCAACTCGGCTTATGGACAGCAAGAAGTATAGGTTTTCTTTCTAATGTAACAAAAGTCAAAGTAGGAAGAAAGTCTTGGCGGGACAAATGGCAAGGATGACTTTTAGTTGACTTTGTTCTTTTCTTGTTATATCGGGACCTGCTATTTGTCATCTTCTATAGCTGGGATTGCTTAAATAAGTCATGTGCTGTTTTGAGACAGGGTCTTGCTATGTAGCCCAGGCTGGCTTCCGGTTCTTGTTCCTCATATACCAGCCTCCTGAGTTCTGAGATTGCAGACAGGAGCTGCTACGATAGTAAGTTGTCTTTTTAAGAAAACTAAAAACACATAGCTGTGGTAGGCATTGGAAGAATATTTGGGGGATTTTCCAATCCTCCTTCATGGCCCTATTCAAACATAAAGAATGATCAAGTTTCCCAAAGCTAATATATATTTGTTATTACTGTTTTTTAATTTTTTAAACCTTTTACTTATTTGGTACATGGTCTTGCTACGCAGCTCAGACTCACAGTGATGCTCGTGTCTCAGCCTCCTAAGCACTAAGATTACAGGCGTGTGCCAGGACGCTTGATTTCGATGGCTGACACAACATGCCTGGCATGTGGTACTGGGTATCAAACCCAGGTCCCCCTGTTTGCCAGGCAGGTACTTAGACAGCTGAGCCATCTTACCAGCCCCATATATATTTGTTATTATAAAAACTATTCAAAGTCTTTTATTTTTGGCAATAGGGAAAATTTGTTGACTTTCAAAGTGATTTTTTTCTCTATTGAGGCACAAGAAATGCATGACCCTGTTTCTAATGAAATGCAGGTTAAAAGGTAGCCTATTCAGTCTATTTTAGCTCGTGGAACTTATTCTGGTTGTCATTTTTGAGCAAGTAGGCACATTAAATAATAAACATATCACCTGTCACACCCGAAGGGTTAATATTTTTCTTCCATTTGGCATAGATTGTAAATTTCAGGAAGATAAGCTTTCTGACTTGTATATAGCTGAAAACACTTAGCAATATCATTTGCATGGTTTTGATAGATTAATTTTGTTGAACTGATGACAAACTGAAAGGATATAACTACCCTGAGATAAAGATTAGATTAATCATCACTAAACACTGGATTTATTATCTTGCAGTAGATGTTGAAAACTTGCTTCTATACAGTAAGGGTGTGGGTGGGAGTTGAACTATACTTGCACCACCATTTGAGGGGATTTCCTTCTCCAACTGAAGATTTCTTTTTTCTTTGCCATAGGAAAGTGTAGATAAGATTATCTTGTTTGCTAGATAGAAGGTGATTTACTGCTTCTAAAATTTGTAGCACTATTTTATAATTTGAAATAAAACATTGTTCAAAACAATAACTTTAAAAAATCTATGGGTGAAGGTTAAAAGATATCTGAACATATCTCTAATCCAACATTGCCTTCTGTGCTTTAATACATTCCTTTCCTCATGAGGTAGAGTTTATATTTATTTTTTACTTATCTTTGACTTTGGATAAACTTTGAGTACTTTAATCAGTAGAACATAGTGGAGACCCAAAATATAAATAAACAGAAAAATAAAAGATAATGAAAGATAGGTAATAGGAGTAGAGAGGGAAATCTTTTTTAACATGACAAGGAAATCAAGAGATGGGGGAAGGGGAGGGAAAAGAGAATTAGAAAAAGAATTGAGATGAGTTATGCACATGCGCCAAGTCTCCCCCACCACTGCCCCCGCAAGGGAATGTAAACATTATGAGCTGCACAATGTCCCAATAAAAAATGAAAAAGCAACAGAGTAGAAGTGACACTGCACTCACTGTTGTAATTTCTGATCACCACTGCATGAGAAATCCCAAGGAAGAGCCACTCACATCTGCCCAGCTTTGGGCACACCATGAAATATGAGTTTATTTTGTTAGAATTGTTGGTAGACATTATACAGAAAATCACACTTATTATTTGAACTCAGGGCCGGCCAAATAGCTCAGCAGATTAAAACACCTGCAAGCAGGGGCCGGGGGTTCAATGCCTGGGCCTGATGTCCCCGCGGGGCTCACTGAGAAGGCAATTGAGACTGGGCATGCTAGTGCATGCCTTTAATCCCAGCTCTTGGGAGGCTGTAAACAGGTGGGTCACTATGAGCCCAATCTAGTAGTGAGACCCTGAACACCCTGCATATCCTTCCCTAAAAATAAAATAAAATAAATATATGCAACTCATTTAAAAATATTTCAAAGTTGCACACCAAAAGTAGAACATAATATTCATTTTTGCTAAAGTCTAAGTGCCTCTAGGTACGGCAATATGGTACCCATAAACTCAGCTACTCAGGAAACTGAGGCAAGAGGACTTAAAGTTTGAGATCAGCCTGAATGAGATGGTGAGAGCCCAGCTTCAATATACGAAAAAATACACAAGAAAAAAAGAAAACACAAAAGGAAATGTGGTTATTCAATATCAAATCAGCAGGTACCCAACAAATATTTTTTCAATGAATGACTTCCTTTTCTTGTCGAACTCATTGCAATTTTCTTATTCATTGAAATCTCTATTCAGTTGCGGTGAATTATTTTATAAAATTAATTCATAAACCTATCTCACGATTGCCAAAGAATGTGGTTGTGATGAATGGACAAGCTACAGCACATTCCTATGGTGTGACTGAAATGCTGAGACTTACTTAAGTCTTTAGAATATTCTATCTATCTATCTATCTATCTATCTATCTATCTATCTATCTATCTATCCATCTACCTAGGCACGCATGCAGAGGCTTGTGCACAAAACAGACTAAATAACGGTAGGGTTTTCCCAGATTTATTTAATATAATTTACAAATAAAATCATACATTTCAGATACAAAACATGTTTTTTTCCCATAATTTTATTAATAAACAAATAGCAATGAGACAATTTCAAATCAAATTGGTAGGACAGTTTCAATAATTAACACATAGCATACATTCTTCCTAGTGGTTAATTGCTGTACACGATGCAGGCATGACATCCCACTTACAAACACCATTAGAACAAATCACTCTATTCATTAAGAGAATGTAACTATATATCTATCCTAACCACTTTTTTTTTTAATTTTTATTTATTTGAGAGAGAGAGAGAGAGAGAGAGAGAGAGAGGTGTGTGTGTGTGGCCAGCTCAGCCCACCAGGGGGCGGGGCTGGCTGGCATGTGGTGCTGGGGATCGAACCGCGGTCCCTGTGCTTTGCTAAGCTTGTTCTAAGTAGGTGCTTTAGACCACTGAGCCATCTCTCCAGCCCCTAACCACTTTGAATACACAGATACAAAATGGACATTCATCTGTATCCCCTTTTTTTGTTAAGTTCCGTTATTTGAATATTATAGGTGTGTAAACTCAGTAAAATATTCTAAAAGAGTCCAGTAGCCCATAATAGTATTGGGTCTTCTGCTTCCCTGGCAATGTCAGAAATTGTTGACCTGAGTCCCCAACAGCTCAACACAACAGCATGGCTTTACTTCTTGTATTTCGTTTTTATACTTTTCTGCTGGATGGTTAAGACCAAGGTAAAGCAGGACCCATGCAACAAGAGTTGTACCTTTTGGGTCTGACAAGGTCAGTGAAATCCCCTCAGGATTTATCCTGAGATACTGTACCTCAGACTGTAGAACCTCTGTCAGTGTCACCCATGTGGATGAGTCACGGCCATTGCTTGGCCAAACAAAACATGTTTTAAGATACATATATGTTGTAAAATAAGCATATCAGCCTCCTCACAGCCTTCTAGGAATTCATATTTTCATCTGTTTGAACATTTTATAAGAGCATAAGTCCAAGAGAAAGATGTGTTCAGCATTGCTCATCCAGAGACATTGAAGAGTTCAGTGAACATGATTTCTTGCTATCTGTATGTGTAAATGAATTTTTGAACATGTAAAAATTGACATGCCATACACACTGTTTCATAACCTGCTTTTTCTCTTAATGTACTAGGCACATTTTCACCTCAATAAATTTGTGTCAACACCATTATAACTGAATGATATAATTTATGTCTCTCCTTTCCCCCATTACTCCCCCTTACATCCCTTCCTTTTCCCTCTTTATTTCCTTACTGTTATCATTTTTTTAGATTCCACATGTGAAGGAAAATATACAACACTCATCTGTCTGAGTCTGGCTTATTTTTTGAAATACAGTGGTCTCGAGTTCTACCCATTTTCCTTCAAATGACAGCTTTAATTGACTTTAGAGCTGAGTAATTTATTTACAGCTGAATACTACCCCACATTTCCTTTGTCTTTATTCATTAATGGGCACCTAGGCTGGTTCCCTATTTGGTTACTGTGAACGGTGCCACAGCACACACAGGCATGCAGGTGTCCATATACTGACTTGGATGCCTTTGACTATCCACCAAGCAATGGCATAGCTGGGTCATACACTTGTTTAATTGTAGTGTCCTGAGTGATCTCCATAGTTTCTATATTAATTTACATTCCCACCAGCAGTGTAGATGAAAGGGTTCCTGATCCCTTGCATCCTAGCCAAGATTTATTGGAGTTTTTGTTGTTGCTATTTGTTTCTTTTGATGATAGCCTTTCTGACTGGATTGAGATGGAATCTCAGTGTCATTTTAGTTTGCACTTTCTTGATGGCTAAAGATGTTGAACAGTTTTTCATATACTTATTGGCCACCTGTACTTCTTTCCGGAAGTGTCCATTCAATTCATTTGCCCATTCATTGACTAGACAGTTTGAATTTTGTAGGTGTGTGTGTTAGATTTTTTGATTTCTTTATATATTATGGATATTAACCCTCCCCTGAAAGAGTGGCTGGCAAAGGATTTCTTCTATCCTGTAGGCTGTCTCTTCATCCTGTTGGTTGTTTACCTTGCGAGGCAGGTTTTTGAGTTAAAGCAGTCCCATTTGTTGATTCTTTCTATGATTTCCTGTGATGCTGGAGTCCTACTCAAAAGGTCTTGGCCTGTGCATATGGTTTCAAATGTTTCCCCTATATTTTCTTCTAGCAGTTTCAAAATTCCAGGTCTTTGATTCATTTTGATCTTCCTTTCTTTTTCTTCTCTTCTCTTTTCAAAGTAAGAGATAGGGATGCTGTTTCAGTTTTCTACATACAAAAACCCAGTTTTCCAAGCACTCTTTGCTAAAGAGGCTACAAATTTTTTGGCTCCTTTATTCATTATAAGGCAGCTGCATGGGTTTCTTGCTTGTCCCCCATTCTACTTCATTGGTCTATGTGTCTATTTTTATGTCTGTCTCACGCTGTCTATTTCATTATGGCTTTGCAATATCGTCAAACTAGATCCAGTATTGTGATAATTCAGGTTTACTGTTTTCAATCTTTTAGCTTCCTTGTTCTGCAATTTCAGTATAGAGGTTTTTCACCTCCTTGACTAGGTTAATTCCTAGATGTATATATCACTATATGTACTATATATAGGCCCGCTGCCTATTTTGTTATGCTGTTTTTTGAGCCTGAACTAAGCCAGGGAGATTCTGCCCAAGGACTGTGAGCCCTCTGAGGTAGGTGGAACCTAGCCAGGTTCCACTGAGAGTACCGGTGAGGGAGAGAAATCAGTCTGCAGAGGGAGAAAGAAAATAAGAAAATGTTTAGAGTAAGAAAACCCTAACTACTTTCCAGGCTTGGCTCCCAGCTTTGTGAGTACCTCCTTTCCGGGTCCATACTTCTAAGGTAAATTTTCCTCTTTCTGAGCTTCTATGAAAAATTTTCACCTCTCAGCTTCTAAGGTAAAACTTCTCTCTTTCTCCAGAAGTAAAGTGAATATTCTTGAGAAGACTGAGGCCCAGAGACACCCTTGAACCTTGCACTTAGAGTTAGCTAATCAATAAATACCCCTCAGTTCTCGTTGTACCGAGGACCAGCAGTACATTAATGGCAATAGAATCTAGCAGCTCAAGAGGCGTCACTAGAAAAGAAATGTGTTCTCCAACTTGGTCTCCCGTCAGTACCTCCTACTCTACCACTTCCTGTGAGAAGGCTTTGGAGATCCTCTGGATTGTCAGAATAACACTACTTCCCTTGGTGGTGGTAATTATTGATTGAAGTGATTCTATTTAAAGATGTTATTTATGACAGGTACAATTCTACTTGGCTAATTTTCTGTGGTTGGCCTGGTATATTCAGTAATCTGGGAGCAAAAATGCCTATTGTTTTCTTCCTGCAGTTTCAGTATGGAAATAGAAGGTGGATCATAGGAAACACAAGAAATGCTCAATTAAGAGTACACTGCCCACTGCCTTCTTCCTGTGGGAGTTTGGTAGGCCTACTTTAATACACTCTGGTTGATGGTTGGTTTTACTGTCTGAATATCATTTTTACTTATAGGGTCTGTGGAGTTCAGGCTGGCTCTAAGCTCACTATAGAGCCCACAGTGGCCTTGACCTCATGGTGATCCTCATGCTCAGCTTTCTAAGGGCTGAGATTACAGGGATGCACCACCATACCTGTACCTGGTTCAAACATCATTCTGATGAGGCTGAGGTTGGAGGCTGCGACTCTTTGGAAAGCTAACGTGTCATCCTGGATCTCTGGCAACCCAGTCTCTCTATACTCTGCATTCTTCAGAAGAGAGACCAGGCACAAGGACATCATGACTCCAAGCACAGGACTTCACAGTTTGGTACAAAGGTTAGTATCTTAGCCTGCCATTTAGCTAACACTGTCAAACATCTTGCCTAGTACAGGTACTTGGGGGAAGAACAGTAGGTTCAAAGGAAAACATCTAAATAATAATGCTGTGGATACGACTGGTCCATTTGGAAGGAATACAGAAAAGGGACGGAAGGTGAAATAAACAATAGAAAAAAATAAACAATTGTGACACGCCTCTTCTTAAATGTCTCAATTACGTTCTCTGTGGACGAAGGACACGTTTCTCAGTCCACAAACAGGAGTTTGTGGAAATAGGGAAAACTCTACAGCAAGGTGTCTGTGCTCAGGAAGTACAGCAGGGACCTAAGACTGTGCAGTCCTGGCTGATTTAGGACAATAAAATGCTGCCAATGTTGTGGCTACAAACAAATAAAACTAGGAAGATTCTTAAGGTTCATGTCACTTGCTATTTAAGTAAATGACCTGCATTTTAGGTTTTTGCTGCTGTTCCAGTTTTGATCCTTGACAATCTGGAGGTCTAGGCAGGAATAGAATATGTTGAGTAATTTTGGACCTTTACACGGACTTCAGTGGCAGACAGACATGTGTACTTGGTGCTGGGTAACTACATCGCACTGTTGTATTCCGTGAGGTCCAGTTCACTAGGTGCAATGGCTAGGGCTTCCACTTGCGAACTGCACTTCCCCTGCATTCACTGCACTCCACTCAGTAACTACCTTGCCACACCAACAGAGCTTTCTTAAGCCTTTCTTTTCTGCCCTATGTATGCTGAGAGAAAATCGACTTAGGGTTTTGCAACGTCCCTTTTCAGAGCTCCAAAAAAGTGAGGGTTTCCTAAGCTTCCAAAACCCTAACACTCTGGGAGCCCCCAGAGCGCTCCCCACCAGGAGTAAGCTGCTACCTGGAGGTGGGATGCATATGTTCAAGGGAGTAGCTGTTACAGAAGACAGGCCTTTGGGACAACACTGTAACCATTCTCACAGATACTGGCTTATTTGTAACTGCTTAGATTTTATAAACGGAAAAACTACAATAGTAGTAAAGCAAATTAGTAGGCAGGTGGTAAAACTTAACTGTCAGTCATTGTTAAGGATTGTGCAATTCCCACTCTCTTCTGTAGCTGTTTCCCAGCTTCTCCAGCAGGTGTCACTGTAGTCACAGAACAAACACTGCACAGCAGGGTATGTAACTTTTATTTTTCTAGCATAATTTAAAGTATTTACACACTGCACACTCAACTGTCTTACACAGATACTTATTCACATCGAAAGGTTTCTTTGCAAAGACTCGACACACGGTGGGGGGGGGCTCCAAGCAGAAGAGAAAGCAAATATTCTGAGTCTTTTACAGACAGCCATGTGGAGCATCTGTGAAAACCAGCCTTTCTCCTAAATTTAAGCTCCCCAGGAGACCCGTGCAGCCATCCACGTGTTGGCATGACCTGAACGTCTTCTAGGAAGGCCTTCATGAACCAACATGTAAGAGCAGCTTTTTGTCAAGAAACCCTCAAGAAAAGAAACCTAAGATAGTACAAGTGTTATCTGGTGATAGTTGTGCTGTTTCTAAGTCACCTGTGGCATCTGTAAAGGTTTCACAGGGCACTGATTAAAAGGGATTGCAAGTGAACACCCTGGGTGTTTTAAGCATCCTTTCCAGCGAAATGATGTGGTAAAACCACTAGGTTTTCTTTTCGTGACGCTTAGAATGTTGTTTTCCAGGAAAAGGACAAAGTTATATTAATCATATACACTCTAAGCCCATACACTGTAGAAACTTCTATTATTGCTTTCACTGTTATACTATTTGCACAAAAATAGTGGTTAAAAGTATCCTTAGTATTCTTTTGTGTTCTACTCAATTACAAAATTACAATAGCTTCTGAAATGGGCACACGGCTCCAGCGTGAGCAGAAGCAGCCACGGCTCAGAAGTGGTGTAGGCAGGCACCTAGCTCAGCTTCTACAGCGGGATGAAGGAATCAGGCTCTCCCGGAGTCAAATCTTTGAAAGTAGCAGGAAGCCTTCATTACTAACCTATTTTGCCCAGGATTGTTCTTTCATACACCAGAAGCAGAGAGGTTTGCTGCTGCTAAGTGAACTCACAATTCTACCCTGTAACTAACTGGTGGGTATCTCAGTTCCTTAAGAAACAACTTCACAAAAGGACATCTGTTTGGTGTGAGTCTGGGACTCTGGTCACGAGGACATGGTAAAAAATATCACATGGGCAACTAAAACTAAGTGTAACCTTAGCCTAAATTACAATATTTCAAATGTATTATCTTTTGTTTCAACTGTAAACTTGCATTATTAAATATAATTACTAAATTGCATCAGTTCTTAAGAACCAAAATTTGTGCTAGGGTAGGATAATACAATTTTACTTATCCTGGACTTAACTTTCTGCATTACTACTCCTGCTTTTTGTTGCAGATGCTTTTCCTTTTCCAAAGGGTTATCACGAATGCAACAGGAGCATCAAGATCACTTTTATAGAGATTTCACCAAGTTACACGAGCAATTAACATTCAACCAGAGGTTTAAAAAACAAGCATACCTGACTTAAAAGTCGGAGTACTTGGGCACACAGTGCTTATAGCTGATGTCTGCACTCAGCAGAAGCCCTAGTGAAGCACATCCTGAGTTGGGCCAGAGCTTTCCTGCCCTGAACATCCTGCTCCCCTTCGGGTTGCATAAAGACACCTCAGGGTCTGCAGGCCAGGGAGTGGCAGGCAGGGAAGGATGGGGTCACAGAGACACTCACAATGAGCCCCACCCTCGGATCCGTCAGGTGAAGCTGAGGTGGCCCAGTGTGGTGGAGACAGGGGTGTGCCTGGGTCCCCAGAGCCAAGAAAGAGAAAGCCAAGAACGAACATGGTCTTCCACAGATTACACAAAGAACAAGTCGTGATTGTTTCTAAATTTGTGGTTTCATGTTTTAATGAACTGAGTTAAGAGGAAAACTTACAACTTAAACTGGGGCATGGGGAGAGAAAAAGTCTAGGAGCTACTGAGGTCTAGTAAGATGCATGTTATTTTTCTATGAAGCTGCCATCACTAGACCCCTTTTACCTAAAAGCAGTTTTCACAGGTCCAACCTAACACACCATGTGTTCAAATGTAACAACTGAAAGCAGAGGTGGGAAAAGGGTAGCGATATTCCTCACCTTCCCAAAAAGTGACAGCTGGGAGAGAGGGCTTCCCATTCAGAACAACGCTTAGGAGAATCTGGGAGGAAGAAGCTGTTCTTTCAGATCGAGTGAAGGCAGGAAGACCAGTGAGGACACAGCTCCAAGCAAAGGAGGTGGCTCCACCAGAATGCGGCCAGGGAAAACTGCACACTGCAAAGCAGCAGCAGCGGAAAGGGCAGGTGGGACAGCCAAGGACAGCTACCACCGGTCACCTTCGAGGGAGCGTTGCATACGGTGTCTGTGTATATGTACTATACATATTAACCAGGTACACACATAAATATTTAATATATAAAAAATAAAGTGCTTTCTAACAGGTCCCCAGGCAGGGACATTATAAAACATTTCACAAAACGACCAAACAAAATCGATACAATCAAAGAACACTATACCCAATGCACGTGAAAACAGCCAAGCACAGTATGTACAATCTGGTGGTAACCCAGGACGGGCATCCTCTCATATACATGGTATATACACATATACTCTTTTACTCAATATATTATGACAATATATATTTTAAAATTTTGTTATAGACAAAAAAATTTAAAAACAAAGCAAAACAAAACAAAACCAAAAACAAAACCAAAAGACAGGCCCTAAAAAAGCTCCACAAAGATCAAGCCCATGAGTCCGAGGCTAACAGACCAAGCGCTGCACCCCCGCAGTGCCCCAGTGCCACTGCCCGGGAAGATGTGCCAGCGCTCCCTCCGTGGGTGCAGCGCCTCCACGTCCTCCAGGGCACTGCGGGCTGCAGCCGTGAAGTTAGCATCACCAGTGGTGAGCAGGTCAAAGACGCAGGACTGGAAATAGATGTCCTTCACGGGCATCTTCTCATGGCACCTAGTGCTGGCAGTGGCCAGTGTATAGCCAGGCCAGGCCTGCGCCGAGGGGCTATGAGGCAGGCTGTGGCCCAGGATGGCAGACACCTGGCCCTGCTCGTCGTCAATACGTTCACTCAGGGGGCAGCCGTTCACACACAGCTGCAGGTCCTGGCTTTCCTCGTAGGACATGGCCAGGTCCTCAGGCATTCGGATGGCGAGGGTCAGGTAGCGACCTAGCTGGCGCACGAACACTGTGGTGCCTATGTAGTGGGCGTGCATCTCCACGTAGCGGCCACTCTCCCTCTCCACGATACGCAGGCTCTTGGTGTCGCCATCCCCACCGCTGGTGGTACCATCCACAAAAGCAGCTGGCAGGTCATCCGTCACAGCTTGGTACACTTTCTGATCTGTACACTCATGGTGGGCTTTGAAGATGATCGTGATCTGCGGGGAACAAAGTGTCCAGAGTTTAACACCAGGCCCAGGGGCAGAATGGTAGAGCGGATGGCCGGATAGCCTCCAAACCCAGGGTCAGGGTCTCTTGCTGCACAAACGAATGCTGAAAACAAAGTACTATACACTGGGAATTGAGATTTAACCTAAACCCAAGGAAGGTGCGTTAAAAGAACTTTAACTTTCCTAAGACAGAGAATGGTGTTCATCTTGGGAAAAAGGCGAGGCACAGCACTGAGGGGAACAAAACTACAAGCTCCTTTCTAGGTTATCTAGACACTTTCAGCCGCTTGCTCAATGAGCTATCTGTCAGGACTTTGCTTTCTTCACTGGACTACCACCATATACTCTGGGACTCTCACTACAGACCTAATATAGGTGCTTGAGCGACGAAGCAAGTCGAGGTTCGCAAGCCCAGCAAATTATCAGTCATGTGCCTCAGGAAAGATCCACATTCCCCAAATGCTGCACATCACCCACTAATGCTCAGGGGAGGGAGATCACACGGGGAGTCAGTCCCATCACTGTATCCACCTATCTAGTCACAGCAAAAGCTTCCTCCTGCCACACCAGGGTCCTTTAGCCTCTCACATTTTTGCCTATTCAACTCTCAATTTTCCAGTGTAGCACACAGTTCAAGGAGAAAAAGATACCTATGGATACCATAAAAGTCTCTCTTAGCCCGTTTTCTCCCTATAGAATCTTTTAATTAGAATACACACACACCCCTCTCTACCTCCATTCTGAACCTTCACACACATGGTCTCTAACATATAGTAAAGTAGAAGAAGAAAGGTAACTAGGAAGAGGTGGGATTCTGTGTTACACAAGAAAGTTGTTCCAAAGAAAAAAGGAGGTTCCTGTTATTGCTAGTAACTGGAGTAATAGCTTATTCTTTCTTCTCTTTTGAGGAAAAAAAAAAAAAAAAAAAAATCAGGCGACAGCAGTCGAGAAAGAGGACAAACAAGCCAAGAACTTCAAAAGCTGTTCTGGATGGAGGGATCTTCCAGTGTTTGCAAGGGACCTTATCAAGACAATAGACAGCTGTAAGAAAGGCCAGGAAATGCCCCCCGCCTCCCGTGATCCCACCACCTGCACATTTATGCCTGAAGTTTCTCCCCAACTGGCCACCCTTTGCTCACACTATTTAATTGCACATGTTCCCACTGGTGTTACTTGACTGGAATTTTCTAGGCATTTCATTTTACTTCAGCCAGTTATAAAGCCAGATCTGAACCAGCTGTGCTACAGCAACTGGTTAAATTCATATCCGTTGTCTGCAGCTGCAACTAAAAGCCAGACAGTGTGCTGTGAAAATGTCAGGGTTTCTCCCCTCCTCATTACCTTGACCCACCACCTGAGCTCACTACCGGCCTTCTCACATTTCAACACCTTCTTAACAACCTGAAGGAGGTGGACCAGAGATGATTTTAGGAAATGCACTGTGCATCTGACCAGAAGACCTTCCAGGGTGAGCAGGGGTTGAACTAGATACCAAACAGCACCATAAAAGAGATTTATTTGGTGGCTTTAACAAGTAACAAGTGCTTTTGTAATGCATGCTAGGATTCCATGGAGGTGAAGGAGCAATTTAAATTCTGAATCTAAAAAAGTTGAAGGTTAACAATACAAATGGCTAAAATAAGAGCTACTAATAGACATTTTGTATAATCACTATTCATTTTCAACTATAACATTCACTCACAAAGATTAAACGAACTTTCACAACACAGAAGTAATTTGTCTTTCCAGTCTAACAAATGTCAAGTGTAAGCCACCTTGGTATTACCTACAAGAACTAGGCTCACATTTTGAAAATCAAAAAGAAAGTACTTTTATTACATTAATAAAACAGAGATACTCAATTTCAAGCAAATTTCCAAAAAGGCAGGCAAGGGTCAATGTGAGAGGAGCAGAACAGTTCCATACATCCTCCAAGTCTGTTTTTCAGCAAGCACACCTGGAACTCCAAAGTTGGTCCAAACACGATGTGTAGTCTCCTCCCTATGGCTATGACCCTAACTCCACAAGTTCAAAGAATCAACAAAAGTTTGATTTCTTCAGTATACACACCTATAAAATATTCCAGTCTATAGACAGAGTTTTTCTTGTCTACTCCATTTTTGTTTTTTTTTGTGGAACTGGTGATTGAACTCAGGCCCCTGCGCTTGCCAGGCAAGTACTTATTCTACTGAGCTATCTCCCTGGCCCTGCTATTTCATTTCTAAGAAGAAATTTTACTTATGAGGAGATTATGGTGATACTGCTCTCTTTTTCCTCTATGAGGTGAGAGAATTCTCATCCACAGTACTGGTATAGAATTAGTGGCTGAATCAAAATGCTGAGGCAATGAGCAATCCTAAAGCAGGAGACAGATTTCCTGGGAGCTCTTCTGGAGTTTAAGCCCATACTTAGGAAGTACCCAGATGGACAAGCAGTGGAAATGTAGAAGACTGTGGGCAATCCCAAAACTTGAACTTTCTATTTCTAACACAGTTCATCTCTCAGAACAATGTAACATGGGCTCTTAAAATGCAAGTACTCAGATAAAAAGCTACTTTCTCTTAGTTCAAAGTTATGAACTAATAGTGTCTAGACAAGATATCATGTCTGCATCTTGTACTATGAATAACTACTACAAAGACAACAATATGCAATGTATTAATTATTGTACATATCCTACTAACCTCTTTTGAAATTGTCTCATTGCTATTTCTCAATAAAATTCATATAAAAAAGGGCAAGTACTTAGCTGTGAAGGGCAATAAATACATTTGCAGATTGCCCTCCCCTTCCAAAAAAGCAAAACTTCATTCTTTTTTTTGGTGGAACCGGGGATTGAACTCAGGCCCTTGTGCTAAGCCAGGGAAGTGCTTATTCTATGGAGCCATCTCCCCAGCTCCAAACTTCATTCTTAATGTTTCCTTCAAGCACATTCACAATTTAATTAGTTCTTGGAAATTTCTAACTTCTGATGGTACAGAACTTACCTAGCATATGTAAGTCCTGGGTTTGATCCCTATAGTAACAGGGTGGAAAATCCCAATGAAATAGGTATCATCTCCAAACAAGAAAATTCAAAATTGTCTTCCAAAGATTTTACACAGCATCAGCAACACCAGCATCTCTGCCTCTCCTGTCCTCAGTCCAATACATCTGCTCTATACTATGGCATGTATTATTGATGCATGGCATTTCTGTGCATTTAGAACGTCGATGTCTTTTGTTAAGCCTCCCCCACCTAGTCCCTTTTGACCCCACCTTAGATAAAACTACTCCAATTCTCCTCATTCATTTTTAATGTTTCTCTCCCTAAGATCTTTACAATCCACAACGTTTATTAGGAAGAGAAAGACAGCAGCTACAAATCACCCTATCCACAACCTATTGTGAAGTATTAAAAAAAAATCAGTAAGAGCTACCTGCCTCTCCCCTTTTACTAGGAAAAAACCCTATGAACCGGCCCACAAGGAGGACAGCTCAGGCACGGCCTAGCCCAGAAGAAGAAAACTACCTTCCCAAGGCATACAGGCCTGGAAAATGCTGCACCCGGACTCCCAAACAGCAAAAATCCCTGAAGGCTGCACCTCTCCGTGTTGAATTAGGCCATGTGGCTACACAGCAGGACACCTTTCTGTACCCCTCAAATACCAGAACTGCACATTTTGGTGGAGGAATTCATATCTCTTAGCTTGAAGTGTCACAAAAATTATCTTGAAGCATATGGAAATAGGACTTTGATAAGTGCCTGGTTAAAATTCCCCTTAAGTCAAAGGAATAAAAGGAATTAAAAAAAAATTATTATATGACATACCTGTCACACTTTTTAGGGATAATTACAGCTTTAAAAAGCAGCAGACTCCAAGAATAAAACTGTGCTCACTCACAGACCCTTTCACTCTTACATATGGGAGTGGCATACAACCTGGACAATCAGTCCTCTACAGAGAAAAATGAAACCATGCCAACAACAGCACATGATTCAAAGAAGGAAAAAATATATACACTTTATCCCTAACACAGCCAAATTCTGAGAGTAAAAAAAAAATTTGTTTTTTTTGCAGTACCAGGGATTGAACCCAGGCCCACAGCCTCAGTCCTTTCTAGTTTTCATTTTTAGGCAGAGTGGTGCCTGCCTACACTGGGTTGAAACTGTGATTCTCCTGCCCCGGCCTCCCCAGCACTGGGATCACAGGAAGCCAGGGAAGCCAGAGAAGCCCGGCCCCGGAAGCTCTGCAGCTCCCACAGGACGCAGCACTCTGAGGCAGCCCTGTGCCAGCCCCCTGGCCCACCTCGCAGGGAGCACAAGAGGACAGACAGACCTCAATGGTAGCAGAGGCTGCACTGGGGCAAATGCCTTTCAGTTACATAAACACACAGAGCTCTTTCTCCTTTGGTGGAGCAGCAAAAAACCCAACAAAGCACATTAACTTAACTTACTGACTGAACAATTTAATGGAAAGCTCTGGAGTTTTTTATATATACCATATTTAAGAAAAAAAAATTAGGGCTGAAGTATGTGACATCAATGACAATTTTCCTACAAAAATTAGAGAGGACAGTCTGTTAGCAGCTGTGATCTCAATGAACTGCAATGTAATTTTATAATCAGCCTATATATCAAGTATCTTACACATAGATAACTGAACTTAAGACTTAGAAAGGACACGTTATTACCCAATTTTATTGGACTAGCAAGACAGTAACAGTAAGACAGTATGCTTGTTCACAAGGTGAGCGGCAGGTTGCAAAACCTTACCCTAGACTCAAATGCAATGAAGAAACCTACTACTTTAAACACAAGACTTGTAAGGCAGGCAGGTCTCTGCACCCTTGAGTCTGTTCCACAGAGCTGCATGCTTGAGCACTTATGGTTGCAGAGAAACAGAAAGGGCCACACTCCTTTGGGGTGCTGCCCTGGGTAATAAACACACACAGCCATGGGCTATCCTGGCTGCTGACGGGTACAAGGCAGCACGTGGGGAAAGCAG